AAACGCAAACACATTGTTTTGAGAGATCAGAAACTACAGACTGAAAAATTATGGCAAATTATCGTGTTATTCAGTCATCATCGAGCTTAGGCTTGTAGCTGAACCCCCTTTCACTTTTGTCTGGAGCTTGAAACGACAACGACGAAATTTTCGCATCGCGGACGGTCTGATTCCGTCGTCGATAACACCGTTTTTCTGTCTGTTCATTCATGTGTTTTAAATAGATTTGCTCAGTATCATCTGGAATATCTCCAAGATCTTACAACTTCTGGTATCGACTCTACTTCAGGTAGTAGGCAAACGCCAATGTTGCTGCCAACGTCGTCTGAGACTAAACAAACATGACTACCAGAGTGAGTCATGATTGGATGCATAAAGTCTGGTCTTGCCTACCAATATCAATGCAACTAACTATAGTCGAGATTCATGAACATTAGGCCCATGCATCATTCTGCCAATTTCTTCAAATTATGCTTACAATATAACTTTTTACAACAATGGCAGTTAAGCATGGTATTTAATTTTGAAAATTATCTGCACATACCAGGGTCGTGGTAATAAAGCGCTTCAAAGTGTACTTAAGCACGTGAGTAAATTTACATACCAACGTTTGGAATACGCCTCAAAGTTCGTCATCAGGACAAAAAACGAAAATCATACTTAAAATATTGACACTGAACTGGCTATGAATTTCAGAATATATTCGCAATATCTTACAGTGAACTTGCTCTAGTACGAACAGTGTCAAGTTGACATACGATTGTGGTTGGAATTGCGGTGTACAGTCGAATAAGCTACCGGTGGGGTGTTTCAATGCCGAAAGTGCCGTCTAGCAGCTATTCGTTCTTTGTGCTTTTAGTTGCGATTGTATATCGTACTCACTGAACAGAGTTTTGCCTCATGATGAAAAGTTTATGTTCAACCAACAGCAACGTAGGCATAACTTTTTGTAAGTCACAACTGAAGAGTCTTCTTTAACTGTACCTTTAGTCAGTCAGGTGGTCAGATGGCCGCCTATCCTTTTGGCTGGCGGAGGCAGTCGGCTCAGGTAATGTTTCGAAACTTTTGCGATCCTGCGCAAGTGTCTGAGCTTCCGCAGAGTATAACATGAGGTCGTAGCAAAATCCATAAAGGCTACTTGCCCAAGGTTATTTTTGGCCTTCCCCGAGGTCCTCGGATGGTACATAAAGCAACTGTAGTTGTCCCGCTTTCGTTAAGGAAAGCATTTGCAAAATGTACACAAATCATGACCGCTGACACTTCAATCTGGATAAGCAGCGGCTGTACACAGAGGATCACTCGGATATCTGAGCTCCAGGACTCTCTCGAAACTTGAGGACAGAGGGTTTTCTCAGAAAGCTCATTTCAGGCGCTTGTATCCTGGATCGCCGTTTCTCACTCACGGCCTATAACTCATATCTATGGATGAGCATGGGAACAAAAATTGACTTTAATACAGACAGCTCAATCTTCAGAGTCAACTTTGTCTTAGTCCAACGACTTTGGTAGCTCACGCAGAACTTAATATTAATTCATATGGACATATTAATTCATAGGTCGATTTCTTCCTCCCATTTTCCGTCTGCAGTAAACGCGACCTGAGGAACGTTTACCTCCATGCCTGTTCCACTGCTTCTTTGTACCATCAGAGCGCAGCGAGCTGAGAGGCGAGAAAGCACTCGGGTTTTGGTTTAAAACAGTTCACGTCCATCCCAGCTACATCGCACTTAGCTGCGAATCATTCCAAAGAGAGCCGGAGTTTAGTTTCAGAAGAAACCAACAAACCTACTTGTCTCAAAGAGCAAACAGCAAACTTCCTGTCTCGACCTCTCATACTCTGATAGGGTAGCACTTGTCATCCAAAATATCCTCTCAATACACATCACAAGCAGAAGAAAGGAAAAAGCGCACCCTTTGCGACTATCCGCGAAAACTTTAATTACTTTAACTTTAAACTTTAAAACTTTAACGAGCTAACGCTAATGACTTTGAGCCAGTGCCTACGTCAACATATAAAGATTGGATAGTTCTCAGCAAATGACCTTCGTTCCCATAAATTTGCAAGCACTTACAATAGCTTATTGTGCGAGATCTGGTCATAGGCTTTCTAAAGGTCCACTGAACAGATGTTACCTGATGAGCGAATTCCTGTGATTTTGCAACAATCTGGCGTGAGTCGAAAATCTGGGCACAAGTGCCTCGGCCTAGACGTAAGCCGCACGGCTGTTTTTGGAGTCTAGAGGTGGCTAGTCTGTGCGGACGACCGTTCCAACAATGCATAGACCTTTCTGAGAGACTCAGTAAGGTAATTGATCGATAACTGAAGCACTTCATTGGATCACCCTTTTTCAACAGGAGTACTACCGCCCCTCTTCTCTGATACGCTGGTGACTTCCTTACACTCATTTACATTTTGAAAGAAATGTTAGATACATGCCTGTTCGCTCATAACTGTAAGCATCTTTGGGAAAACTTCGCTGTAACCTTGAGACTTTCTAGATTTTTGCAAATTTTGCAACTTTACCACTGAACATCACAAATGGTATGGCATATAAAAATTCTTACGGTTTGTTTGTTTTGTTTGTTTAACACAAATAAGTTTAGCTTTCAAACCTATTTTCTGGTAATTGCTTTAGTGTGCCAAGGTGCTTCCCTCTGTCGAAAGTTGAATTCCCAAACGTAAAATCATTTTTGGTTCAAAATCCGGTAGGAACATTTCATTTTTCATAAGTTGAGAAATAGTTTAAATCATATTAAGGGAAGGCGAAAGACTACATGTTGTAGCGACTGTTTAGCTGTAGATGGTGCCTTAAAAATAAAAATGTTGGATGATGGCATCGCGATGGAAATTAGCGCCGCACCACCAACGTTGTCAGAGAAGGTGTTAGATGCCACAAAAGCGCTCATGAGACCGAACCATTCCTTGCCTATGATAGAGCCTCAGCTTTATGGCAACCATTAACATCGATTTGTTACAGAAATTCTTGTATCTGGGATTAACAGTGAGTTCTCTATACTTTCGAAACATTTCGTGTCTTTTACCAGGAGGAAGAATTGGGATCATGGAATGTAATAATCTCCAAAGCTAATACGGAAATTGTTCCTCACGCGCTCTCTGCTGTAATAGTTGACCAGGCTTGAAGAAATACACTACTCCATTGTTGGCAATTTAGAAGGACTACAGATTATTTAAGGTGATTCGTTGACAGACTTTTCTCGTTCTGTAAAGTACAAGACTCTTCCCCTTGATGGGTAATATATTACAACGCTAAAGTAAATAGATTATTCACTGAACATTCCATCATGATGCAAGTTGCACCAGACCACAGCGCTGCTGATCTGACAAACATAAGTCGTTCTTATTGGTTGTTCATTAACAGACTTCCAAACGAAATTATATCCGACGTTTACACATAACATATTTTATAATGTTATGCAAGCTCATCACTGACATAACATTTTTTGCAATTGGCTGCAGAAAGTATATTAACGACACGGCAGACCAACTGAATGTTCAACTTGGCGTTCAATATATGCACTAAGACGAAGCTTCCTCTGCATCGATAGATGGTTCATTATGTATATCTGAACATACTGATGTAAAGACGCTGTCCCAGCTCCAAGGTATATTTTCTTCCGTCACTTCCGCTTCGTCAAATAAGTATTTTGCCAATAGACTGAGGTCTAAATACAGGCATGCATTAACAGTAAAACATCATGAAACAAAGCTAAGCTATACACAACGCAAATATTATGGTCAATCTGACAATAGACCAGTACTGACGTTCCGGCCTTCATGAAGGTAAGGAGGTTGATTGACTAACTTATGAAGTCCTTTTGTTGTTTGAGCGATTCGCAGGTGTGGAGCTAGGTGGCTAACAATGCTCAAGTGTGTGCCTGTAATTAATTGAATTAAAATAGTCAGTAATGGTATTGGATGGACTATTTTTCTCCTACTAAGTTTAATAAACTTGAAAATTGTATATCCTTCTTTCATGTCAAAACTTAATTTCACTGTTTTCGTGTTTCTTACGAGACTGCTTCACATATGCACCTTATTACAAAAATTGCCGACGTTTACAGTCATATTCGGCTAGCCGTCAAGCTGCAGTCATATAAATAGATATGTAAGGTCGAAAGTTGCGTTGCGATTAAATTTTGATGAACCGAGCATGTAATAATGTTGGCAGCGCGCAATGAACACCTGACGTCGGTAAGACACTGCTCAGATCCACGCATATGACTCCATTCCTACATCTGTGGATCTGAATGAAAAGAGCTTCTCTGATCTTACTGAATACTTGATGATTTTCAATGACATAATTAATGTTAAGCAGCTGTCGAGTGATTTTCGCATTCTGCCTCGACGAATACGGGATCTTGCATTTACCTCCTACCTCTCCCTTGTTTTGCATAGCCTTTATCTCCTAAATCGGCGTTGTTCATTCTCGTAGGGTAGTATAGGTGTTCTTTTCCTCCTTTTTCAATGGAAGAACCTTTTTCTCCGGTTTAGATTTTGCCATTTGCACGATATATATAGCATAGAGTAGAGTAGACTCATATGCATTGTTCTTACTGCGGCATTTCGTTTTACATCCGTTAGCTGGCTCTAAATAGTGAGTCTAGAACTCAATTTTTACGCTGAGAGATACGTCGATCATGCGCAGTTTATCAGTTACATTTGTAACCCAGGCACACTATCATTCATGTAAATTAAGCTTTATCGCGCCTTTCAGGACTACTCAGTTTTCGATGAATGGTTTCTTCTACAGACGTTTCGGATAGCCATTGTTTACTGATTAGACCTTCGAATAGTCTCCTGCATAAAGGAAGAATTCCTCCATTTTCAAGTTTATTCACATGTGCCAAGCTGCCGTCCACGCTTATGTACTCACGATTTCTCGAAACAACTTCGATTTGGTCTGCATCAAAATTAAACCACCTTACCTGTATAATGCAGTGTCGAGGTTATGACTTATTTCGCTACGCCTGAGCATCAACTAAATCAGAACAACGACATTTTCGAACTTTCGAGAAGAGTTTCGTCCAGCAGAGTACAGGTTTTCACTGGTACAAATTAGCAGCATGGGAAAAAGAAGCTGTTTCGGCAGAAGTTTTTTGATCTCGTCTGCCGATGAATCAGCACTGGAAAGGTTGATTATCATTCTGAGAACTGCAAAATGCGAAAGAACGAGGTGCAGTTAAGGGAGTTTCAGGAACTTCTAATTCAATCTGCACTAACCTTTGACCTCTCTTACTGTGATTAACTTGAATTTCACAGCCCTTATACCTGAAAAAAGTTTTCCACTCGGTTAGTTTTACCACCTGCATGAAGAACGTTACGTTTCTCTCTACCACCTTGTAAATATTACCGTAAATTTTTATTTACAAGGTGATAGTCCTACAGTTTTCTGCTTTATACTGGAAAATTAACGAGCTTGTTCAAGTCCATCGACAGCAATTTAGCGAACGGCTAATTAAAAGCGTTGAAAGACCTCGGTATCGCGATGGTAAAGGCAGATAGGGGAAACGCAACGGTTGTGATGAACAGAGATGACTATCATGAAAGTGTACGTTCGGCATTCAGTCCGGATACTCTCGTTTAGCTGAGATTCAACACATAATCTAATTCACGGCTTGAAGGAATTCATTTCACACCTGAGAAACAACAAAGAACTTGAAACTGAAACAGCCACATAGATGTCAGTCAAGCAAAGATTGAACAGTAGCTTCAGCATGCCAGAGTTCTACTGTCTACATAAATTGTACAAACCTGAAATGTCTATGTCCCTATCATCGCTTGTACCAGCAGCGTTCCGTCAAAGGTGTTTCAGGCAGTTATTGAAATTACACCGAATACCTAAACTCGCATCTACAGAACCGTTGGGATTTCGTTCAACCGCTAATGACTTTCGCTTCGAAGAAAATACTAGCTCAGTAAATTATGACACTTCAATCGTATCCACGAACATATCCATTAAACTCATCTTTAATGTAGTTACGGCGAAGGTCCAATAGGCAGCTCCATTCGCCAAGCGCTGCCACAAGCATTCGAACATTTGGCAACAGTTACCATTCAAACTAGCAACATCTGGCCAATGCTGGATAAAGCATACAGAGATTATGTCGTTGCCAGATTGCAAAAGTAGCACCGAATCCTGTATTCGAGACCACATTAACAGTCTCTTTCCAGACAAAGTCAGTTTCACTTTATCTAGTGTGGATATCCTGCTATATAACATACGATTACCACAAACCGAAATAGCTTCCTACGGGTTACTTCAAGTGACTCGTATGATATGATGAACGACATCGTTAAGACTCTTGTAAGCACATGTGAAAATTTGAATTCTAGTGGACATTCTGAATTCGGAAAGAACTGAGTAACATCATAAGGGCATTAACAAAGAGTGCCCATCCCAAACACCGTAGAAAATGCCTGTTCCTCAGCAAGGAACCAGCTGACAAGCCGAAGAAAGCTGAAAGCGGTAAATTTATCGGAAAGGTGGCATGTCTGTCTTACGCAATGTCAGCGAAAAGCTACGTATGATCGCCCTACCTCTTGGTTTAAAAATTATATTAAATTCTGAACTCATCCTTCGGAGTTAATCAGCGAATATCAAAATGAAGGCGCCGCAGGACGAATAATGCAAATGGGTCTACTACCTACTTTGCAGATGTTATGAAGTCTACACCGGCGACATCGAAAAGCAACACATGTGCAACCCTGCGAGATGGAATAACGCTGACTTGTGAGAAAAAGGCTTTGCGCAACAAGGAAAAACATGAGGCAGATTAGAGATCCCTAATCGCCGAGGCAGAATGCGAAAACAAATCGGCCGTTTCAGCATTGTGTTGTCGACTATCATGAAGTTGATTGGCCATCCACCAGAGCAATCTGTGCCAAAACGACTCTTAAATTTAGAACGATCACAAAGTACTTTTCACCCAGGCCAACAAATACACGAATATTGACGCTAGTATGAGCCTGAGCAAAATCAGGACTCAGCTGTTAA